AAATAGCCAACCTATCCTCCCTAGTGACACATGGACCATGGAAACCACTGTCTCACTCTAAATTATAAGTTTTTCAATGGATAACCTTATATTGTATATAGAGTACCAAATTTTGAGCTGGCACCTCAATAAATGACAACAGTGAACATCAAGTTACACAAACCAGAAGTAAGGACACGCCCTGGACTCCTGCATCCCACCTCCACCTCAAATGCTCATCAGATCCTGTAAATATCTTTTACAATGGAGAGGATCTACCAGCTCCTCTCCATTATCACTAGTACTTAGTTCAATCATTCCAATGAGACTATGAAACTACTGAAATAGCCTCATTACTGGTAATTATCTTTGTTTCCAAACCATCTTCCACAGTATTCATTGCTCAAGCAGTTTTTCAATACACAAACCTGGTTGCTTTCTTTTGAAAACTCACTAATAATACTCCCTTTTCTCTGTGGATAGACTTTAGCTATTCTCCTTGGTAAGGCATAAAATTCTTCCCATAATACAATTATTTATCTTTTTTCCCCCACCCATCATTTCAGGGAATTTAGTCCTTCTGAAGTCTCAGAACAGACTTCAGGGTCCTGTCTCTATGGTGTTTCTCAGTTTCTCCCAATCCTGGCTGTCCTGTCTCCTCATTCATGGCTACCTCACATCAGGATTTCAGGGAGGATACCAGCAGGCAGCTCATAGTAAGGTGATTATGTACACCATCATGTTTAACTCATTTTTCCTTTCTAGAGAAGCCCTCCAGTAAAGATAATAAGAATCTCTTATTTCCCTCTAAAATACTGTGTAATGTCTTCCTTTATTACTAAGTGTCTTAAAATAACTCTCTCTGTATGTATGTATACACACACACACAGACACACATTCATTCTTTCCAGAACTGTAAAGTTTAGGTTGACTCTAAATCAGAGGCTGATTAGATTTTATTTCTCTCCTCCAGATGAATGTCTTATGACATTTTAAGTAGACAAATACAGTATAAATTCAGGGGTGATTTTAGATGAAGTCAAATATTATTAAACACAAAGTAGTTTCTTTGTTTTCATTCCAAAAGGAAATGTATTCTAATGTACAGATGTTTCACTGATTTACTATCACTTGTTTTTCAACAATTTTTTTTCTTTTCCTATATGTAATTTTATTGGCACCCTGTTTTATCTGATCTGTGAAAGAAGGGACCATTCCCCTCTTTTGTTTTTGCATGTAGACTTGGTTGGATATAGTAGGCTTTTTAGTAAATATGTGCTGAATAAAAATCCTAGGGTGATAAAGTATGAGGTCTTATGCATTTCACTTATCTTTTATAAGAATGGATTCTTTATGGGGAAAATTAGAACAATTAAATGAGCTCAGTGGGTTTGAATAGGAGTCCAGGAAACTTTGAATGCTCACTGGCAGCTGTGGATGGTGATGGCAAAGGCTACTGAACAGAGGCAGGGCTTCCCACCCAGATTTCAACCAAATCAACTCTACTTTCTCCTGTTTTATTTATTCATTACTAGCATGCTGTTCAAAACATATTTAAATCTCATACCGATTATCATTGTAAACTATTGAAACTGATGATTTTTTTATTACCTCTCACCTCTAAAATGTTCTGATTTGATGGCTGGTTTTCATTTGAGTAATTGAGTTAAAAGTACTGTTTTTGTTGACATTAGAATAAGGCTTATTAATTTGAGGTTTCTGCAGATTTTCCTGGGGCAAAATTATGCACTGTTTTACTAAACTCCAACTGAAATTCACTACTTCTTGTGCTATCATTGTCACCAATAGAAATTACAGATGTTTTTATATGACACTGTTTATGCAAATTATCCCAAATTACCCTTTTTGTCATCACCACACTGAAATTACAGTATTATTTAGACCCATCTATGACATTTATGCCTGTAGTAAAGTAGCATATATATTACTTTCTCACAAATTTGTTTTAAAAAATATTTTGATAAATATATTTCAATATGGTTCTTTGCAATCCTTTTAAAATTGTACCTTTAAAACAGTCATGGCAATATGGAGAAAAGGTGCTGCTGGCACACTGAGATGCCAAAAATCCCCCGATTTAGACGGTGACACGGTTGATAATTATCTTGGGATAAGCAGCTATATGACCACAGGTGCTTTCTACACCTGCATGATAGGCCTCAGCAGCTGTACCTGTGTGGTGAAGATCAGCCTCACTCACCCAGGGTCATATCTTCAGGCATGGGTATCACTCTAGAAAATCATAGTTATATCCCCTCCCTTGAACAGGACTTTGTGTTTTGGTTGGTATTCTTTTCCTTTGTTTCATCAATTTATTTAGCTTGTGGTAACTCTACATAAATTCACCCTTTAGATGCTTTGCTGAGTATGTTTGCTTTTTCTCTTTCCCAAGATCCTTTCAAAGACTTCTTTTGATACAGTGATTATCCTTGGTGATGTACTGTTCTCCCAACACAAGCACCTGTGGCTGGAATAGGGCCAGCTCCACCTACACCTGTGATGCTGGGCAGCAAGTAGGATCAGTTTTGACTAGTGAAAATGATGGGCACAAGACACATGTAGAACTCAAGTGACTCAATTCTGGAATTTTAATAAGGAAAGAGTCATACTTCCAAGTCTGGCTTCTAAGAGAAAAGAATGCATCCCCAAGACTTGAAAACTATCTTCCCCCTGAAGGAAAGAAGCTTCCCAGGAATGAAGCTAATGAAGAAGAGAGCAGCTCAGAGACGAGGGGGAAAATGCCCTCGGGCCCAAAATACAAGGTTTAAAACATGCCTGAAGTCAGTTCTACACCTGGACTCTTCAAGTATGGGAGCCTGCTGGAGGAGGTCAGGAAGAGGACGTGACTGCCTGTTGACCCTCAGGCTGGACTCGGGAACTGCAGGCTCCTCAGCCCTTCCCCTGTCCCTGGAATGCGCATTCTGTTCACAGTTCCCACAGAGGAAGCTATTTCAAGGACATAACCATGAGAGAATAATGCATTGTTGAGACCATCTGGACTGAATATGTGACTGAACCCAGTAAAGGCTTTTATATAAACTTTGACGATTCTGGCAGACGGATGCAGAGATCTATTAATCTTTCAGTCACCCAAGACAAGTGTCATCACAGGTAAGTTCCCTCACATATTAAATCCATCACGTGGCCTGCTTCCTTTAGGTCTCTCCTTGCCATCCATGTTTGGGGGCCAGTTTGTGAAGCAACAGAGCCACCAAAACCCTCTCTGGCTTAAGCTGTTTTTAGTTGGCTTATATAGAAAAGGACAATTATCTTAGTAAAAGTTATAATACAAGTTTAGTGACTCAGTGCCTGTAAAAGGAAACAACTGATTAATTTTGTGACATTATAATTATTTTGTTAAATAACAATTAAGTGATTGGGCACAATATAACTGGCACTTGCTGCTCTCTGTGATATAAATCCTATCTATGTACTTAATATTTATAGGAGCCATGAATACAATTAGCTCATTTTTACAGAGGAGTAAATTCCAATGTAACTTCCTATGTAAAGTCATTTACCTATGTTTGTAGAGAAAACAGTGTTACAATTTCAGTTTTGGGGGCTCCAGAGACTGTGTTTATTCATCATGCATTCTGAAGACAAACTATAACTTATCTCCTTGTATAAAATAAACATGAACAATTGCAATCAACAACTCTTTCATTGCATAACTGTATATACACAGATGCTTCCTCCCATCCCAATAGTTGGTTATCTACACCTATTTTTTCCTGATCTCTTGTCCAAGCAGCATTTTACTATTTCTAAGCATCCATTACAGAAAGGTCTCAGGGGGGTTAAAAGTGGAAGTCTCATGACACCCCACAGGAGATGATGTGTTCTGGGTTCTTGTGAGGAACAACACAATCAAAGGATGAAATAAATGATTCCTATCTAGCCCAGGCATCACATATTTCCTATAGCAATATATTACAGACTAGGAGGAATATAAAACAATGGAAATTTAGTTCACACAGTTCTGGACACTGAAGTTCAATATCATGGCACCTGCACAGTCATGTTCTCACGAGGGCGCTCTTCCAGGTTCACAGCTGGCACCTTCTCACTGTGTCCTCACAAAGTGGAAGGAAGGAACAAGGGATCTCTCTGCAGCCTCTTTTCAAGGCACTAATCCAATTCATGAGGGTTTCATACTTACAACTTGAGCATCTCCCAAACTCGCTGCCTACTTGTACTGTCACCTTTTGAGTTTAGGATTTCAATATATGAATTTTAGGTGGACATAAATATTCTTCTAGACAATAGCAATGCTTCTCATTGAAGCTAGCAGAAAAATAGTTGTCAAGTGATGAGCACATCTGGAAGATTACATTCCCAGTGAAACAGAGAATTTCCACATCATGCTCACTGTGTTTGGAGGCTTTGAGGGATGGTAGCTGGAGCAGCACACCTCTTAGGCATCCTGGGGCTTATGGCACATGTTGAGAGCATCTCTAACTTAGGAAGATTAAGTACACTAGTTTCAAACTAGTAGGTCTTGAATTCCCCATACATTTTCTTAGGATGCTTCAATGCCTTGTCTCTTTTTCATATCCTCAAATGACGTAAAATTGCCTTATTGAGGCTAAATAATAAAGTGGAAACTAAGCAAGCTGAAGTGTCTAGGAAAATTTTGGGTTATCATTGACAGTCTTTTATACTGTTTAGTATTCTAGCTGTGGGGGAAAAAGACTTTTCCATGAAAGTGCAGGATATGTATCACTTTTAGTATCTAGCTTGTGGGCTTTCTTAGAAGTGTAATATCTGAGGTCAGTACACACGGAACAAAATAATTGAATTTGGACATAATTAGGAAAGTTCACAGCTCAAAAAAGATTGGTGAGGAAATGGTGACATAGGAAGATGACTTGAATCAGTAATGCTTTTAGGAAGCAAGGGCAGAAGCCGAGGACTTATTCTGCACAATTACTGTTAAGAAGGTGTTTGGAGGAAATACAGCTGCCTTTCTTTCAGGAGAACAGCCCAAGTCGTACAACATGATAGTCTTCATTTTCCTGGGTAAGTGAATTGTGCTTCAGGTTTCCCTGAATGCACAACACCGATTCTTCATAATGCTTTCTGTCCAACTGAACTGTCAATTAGCTAATAGGGGATTATAATATGAAGTATCAATTACAATTTTATATTTTAACATGGCTTATTACTTTTGTGAAAATGGACACTTATTTTTATTTATTTATAACTGCAGAAAGTGCATAATATAAGAATTACATGTATTACTTGGGTTGCCTCTGTTTGATCAGATAGAATAATCTGATTACTTTGAGTTATTTATTAGGATTTATCGAACTCACATATATACTCCAACCATTTTAGAAATGAAAGCTTCCAGTATCTGTTTACAAGTTATAAGTTGTCAAATGTCAAATTACTATTTTTATTTGAACTTAAATAAAAATGAGATTAATTTAAACCATTCAGTTTTCCTAATTTTATGGTATTAATACTTAAAAGGTAGGAGTAAGTTAGTAGAATAAAACAACAGCAAAGCCAATACTTCACATTTCGGCCAGTTTCTGTGACATGGAGATATAGTGTGGATATATTCCTCTTATATTGCAGAGTGTAAATATACTGTAAGATGCTGGTAAAAAAGAATTCCAACTCAGGCAGAATTCATGAGATCTGCATGACATATGTGTTACTTGAGAAGCTATTATATTTTCTTTAGCATTTAGTAGAATCTGTAAATTGAACTTAGAAAAAAGGGATATTTGTGATTATAGCTGAATATTAATAATCCACTCATTAAACCAAAGCAAGTATATTTTCCACTTACTGTATGCTAATAAATATTGGTGAGTAAACACATAATGGTGGGCAAGAAAACAAAGGTTATTTCAAATTATGTTGAACACAAAAGGACAGTTAAAATTAATCAAGTGAAAGAAATTAAGGCAAAAAGGAAAAGAATTAAATATATATTTTTAGTTTTTCTTTGGTTTAAGTAATAGTTATTCAATGTTCCAATATTTTTCTTCTTGTATTTATTTCTAATGATAGTAATGTATTACTTATACTTCTTATTATAAAGGGAAATATAAGAGAGTTTAACTTTTGTAGATCTGTTATATTGCAGTTAGCAATTTAGCAGAACACCCAAAATATATTACAATCTCATTATGGTCCCAGTTGAAAAGGTAATGATGGCCTCTTGTTTCTTACTTTTACTTCTAGATTAACCTTGACACTGGTTTGCATGAAGGATAGAAATCATCTCCAAAATCATAGGGTCAATATTGTACTATTTGATTATTTTGACCAATACTTACCATAGTTCATTCTTCAAAATACCTTTTTAACATTATCTAAATAGGCCTCGTGATGTGGGAAAGTCCAAAGAAACGGGGGACACAGTGAATTACTAGGAGAGTAGTTAATGTCCTCATGAGCCTTTTACATTTTAAGAGAGTGAAAACAATGTGCAACATTCTCCATCTTATTTATTTTATTAAAAAATTATTTATTGTCATTCTAATACAGTTGTCCCATTTTCCCCATTAGCCCTCTTCTGCCCAGCCAGCCCCCACTCCTAGAGTCAATCCCCTCACCATTGTTCATGTCCATGGGTCCTTCACATATATTCTTTGACTACCTCCTTCCCTTTCCATTATCCCCATCCCCCCTCCCTCTAATCACTATCAGTCTGTTCCTTGTTTCCATGTCTCTGGTTCTATTTTGCTCATTAGTTTATTTTTGTTCATTAGATTCCTATTATAGGTAACATCATATAGTATTTGTCTTTTACCCACTGGTTTACTTCACTTCGCATAATATTCTCCAGTTTAATCCACGCTACTGTGAAAAGTAGGATGCCTTTCTTTCTTTGTGCTGTGTAAGCATTTCATTGTGTAAATGTATCATAGATTTTGATCCATTCATTTGCTCATGGGCACTCAGACTATTTTCAGTACTTGGCTATTGAAAATAACCCTGCTATGAATATAGGGATGCACAAGTTCTATTGAATTGGTGTTTCAGAATTTGTAGGGTATATTCCCAGCACTGTAATTAGTGGGTCAAAAGGCAGTTCTATTTTAAAATTTTTAAGGAAACTCCATACTGTTTTCTACATTGGATGTACCCATCTGTGGTCCCAATAACAGTGCACTAGGGTTTCCTTTTCTCCACATCCTCGCCAGTACCTGTTGTTTGTTGATTTATTAATAATGGCCATTCTGAGAGGTGTGAGGTGGTATCTCATTGTGGTTTTAATTTGCATCTCTCTGATGGCTAGTGATGTGCATCTTTTCATATGTTTATGAGATAGTTGTATGTCCTCCTTGGAGAATTGTCTATTCAGGTCCTTTGGCCATTTTTTATTTGGATTGTTGGTCTTCCTAGTGTTGAGTTGAATAAGTTCTTTATATATTTTGGAGATCAAACCCTTACCCAATATATTATTGGCAAATATGTTCTCCCATACAGTCAGTTCCCTTTTCATCTTGATGATGGTTTCTTTAGCTATGCAGAAAATTTTTAATTTCATGTAATTCCATTTGTTTATTTTTTCCTTTATTTCTCTTGTCCTGGGAGTTATTTTGGCAAAAATATTGCTACTTGGGATATCTGAAATTTTACTGTCTATGTTTTCCTCTAGGGCTTTTATGGTGTCATGACTCATAGTCAAGTTTTTTGTTAATTTAGAGTTTACTCTGATGTATGGTGTATCTTGGTGATCTAGTTTCTTTTCTTTCTTTCTTTTTTTTTTTTTGCACGTAGCTGTCCAGATCTCCCAACACCATTTGTTGAAGAGACTATTTTTACTCTATTTTATGATTCTGCCCCCTTTGTTGAGTATTAATTGATTGTAGAGACATGGGTTTATTTCTATGCTCTCTATTCTGTTCTATTGATCTATGTGTCTGTTCTTATGCCAGTACCAGACTATTTTGACTACAGTGGCCTTGTAGTATAGCTTGATATCAGGAATTGTGATCCCTCCTATTTTGTTCTTTATCAAGATTGCTGAGGCTATTTTGGGTCTTTTGCAGTTCCATGTAAATTTTTGAAATATTTGTTCTAAATCTGTGAAACATATCACTGGTATTTTAATAGGAACTGCATTGAATCTATAGATTGTCTTGGCTAGTATGGACATTTTCATGTTAATTCTTTCAATCCATGAACATGGTACATGCTTCCATTTATTTGTATCTTCCTTAATTTCTTTCTTCAGTCTTCTATAGTTTTCCAAGTACAGTTCTTTTACCTCCTTGGTTAAGTTTGTTTCCAGGTACTATATTTTTCTTATTGCTATAGCAAATTAGGAGTTTATTTCCTAGTTTTTGTCTCTGATATTTCATTGTTGGTATACAAAAATGTCTTCAGTTTCTGAATATTGACTTCATATTCCTCTATTTTGTCAAACTCACTTATGAGGTTAAGTAGTTTTTGGTGGAGTCAGTCTATAGAATTTTCTATGTACACTATCATATTGTGTGCAAATAGAGACAGTTTTGCTTCCTCTTTTCCAATTTTGATGCATTTTATTTCTTTTTATGGTCTAATTGCTGTGACTAGAACTTCCAGTACTAGGTTGAAAAAGAGTAATGAAAGCAGACACCCTTGTCTTGTTCCTGATCTTAAGGGGAAGCTTTTAGATTTTGACCATTAAGTAGGAGGTTGGCCCTAGGTTTCATATATATGGCCTTTATTATGTTGAAGTATTCTCCCTCTATTCCCACTTGGCTGAGAGTTTTTATCATGAGTGGTTGCTGGATCTTGTCAAATGCTTTTCCAGAATCTATTGATATGATCATGTAATTTTATCCTTCATTTTGTTTATGTGATGTATTATGTACATCATAATGTATTCCCCTGTGAATGGTGGAATTGCTGAGGAAGTAGGGTGGTCCATCAGGGAGTGTATCTATGAGGACAACATTAAAGATACTAGAGTCTGAAAGTGTGTTGGGAACATTTACGTAGGGATAACAGTTAGCATCTATAAATGGAATACTAGAAAATAAGGCAATGAATTATACATTTGAGAATCATCATTCTAGAGGTGCTAGTTGAACCATGAGAGTACATGGAATTATCCACAGAGAATGTGTCCAATGAGATTGGGAAAAGTGTGAGGACAGAATCTAAGCTAAAAATATACATTAACAGAAGAATAAGAGAATCCTGGGAAAAACTCTCAGTGGTCAGAATATGAAAAATCAATAAATATCAAGAGACCTAGAGGAGAGTGTTACCAAGGGAAGAGGAGTTTGAAGAACAAAATGACAACAAAATGCCCAATAACAAAAGTAGGCAAGGTAAAGTCTTAAAACTAGTATATTTGATGTTATGAAAATGATTAGGGTAGTTTAAATAGCAGTTTCAATGGAGTAATAGTCATAAAAATAAATTATAAATTGAGAAATAAATAGGCAGTAAGAAAAAGAGAAATACAGATTATTCTTTAAGAATCTTATGGAGAAGATAATATAGATCTAAAGCTACAGGGGAGGTTAAGATCCATTCCAGACTTGTAATGATCTTGTCACATTTTATTTTCCATAATTATGCTCTTTATTATTAATGACTTAGATTTGAGATAAATAATTGTCATGCTGTAATACTGCAAACCTGTTTTTGTTGTTCTGTTACTGTTGCTATTCAAGCTATGGGGCTGTGCTCAGAAAATGAATCTGCTTCCCAGACCACGGACTGCACTTATTTAAGAGAGCGATGCCTGAGTGGTGAGAATGGATGTGAACATGCATGGAGAAGAATGGAAGATGCTTGCCATGTTTCAGGTAAAATGTATTGTTTAAAATACATTTAAATAATTTCCTTTTACTGAGATAAAAATAGCATTCAATATTTTCTTTCACTATCTGAAGATCTAAGTTAATCTTGCACTAAATACTTTACTCAAATGTGATATTTGAGTGATGCACTTGCAGTTGCTTATTAAGGAATTACTGTTACAAAATGGTATTCTTCAACTACTCAAGGGCCCTAATGAATTGACAATGTGGGCAGCTTTATGCAAGATTTCAGCCTACCTTTTAGCTTCTCTCATTATGTATAATGTTACAATTCCATGTATGCTTCTCAGAAGCATGAGTATAATTTTTCAAATAAAATGTTCTTTTGGCCCTGGCTGGTGTAGCTCAGTGGATTGAGCGTGGGCTGCAAATCAAAGGGTTGCAGGTTCGATTCCCAGTCAGGGCACATGCCTAGGTTTTGGGCCAGGTCCCCAGTGAGGGCCACATGAGAAGCAACCACACATTGATGTTTCTCTCTGTTTCTCCCTCTCTTCCCCTCTCTAAAACAATAAATAAATAAAATATTTTAAAAATTCTCTTTTGCTTATATGTTAATATGTTAATGATAAAGTAGAAAAAAAACTGTGATGATCAAAGGCATTATTATGTATTTGAATTTATATCATACATATTCTATATTCTCACAATATATACTGTATACTATTTTGCATTCCAACTGTGTCAAGAATAAGTTAAAATATATTATTTTTAACTTGTTCTACATTCCAAACATTTGAGGGGAGGCCCAAAGGGTAGAGAATATAAAGATTACAGAGTCACTGTTACTTATTTAAAAGGAAAAAAAATACATTCTAAATACATCACGTAGCTGAATGAATATTGAATGAGGGCATTATAGGAAGTCTCCATTTACTAGAAGTAGATGAACTGATTGATTATATATAATGGTACATTGTCCTAATAGTATTATGACAAAGCTTTTCAAAAAATCATATTCTAACATAATGATATTTTTCATCCTGTATATCAAATATTATTATATAATATAACCTGATCAACTTTTTGGAATATTTAATAAAAGAAATCCAAAAGGAAAAATAAAAATATATTCTCTATGACTCACTTTATTTCTCCATTCATTTCATGAAGAGTCCATTCTGTACAGTCAATAACTCTTGCCAATTGGCATATGCTCCTTGCGTCTCTCAAAAGATGTCAGATGGAGAGTGTAGGGTTAAGAGGCAGCAACCTGTGGTCCTGACAATGTCAATGTTTACCATTCCCTCCAGCAGAGCTCCAGAAATCACACAGGCTGAGGAAGGGAGAAAGATATTTTTCTCTTCCCTTCCCATGAAGGAAGTACATGGACTGTTCATTTTCCAGAGAAAGTTATAGCTCTCTAACCTAAACATTCTTAATAAAGATTACATTTAAACAAATAAAGTGCATAGTACAAGAAAGTGGGAAAAAACCAAAATGATGTAGATACCTCATTTTAGCTCAATGTCTTTGGAATTTTTATGCTTTGGAATTCTCCATGTGCACGTATTAAAATTTGATTTTTCTCCTTTTTTGTTTTATTTTTTTGCAGTGTTTAGAACAGTAGATATTTATAATAATTAAACTCTTCCTTAAATAATCCAATATTTTATCTTTTTAAAGTAAATTTACAGAGGTGAAAAAAGTTATAGCTCTCTAATCCAACCATTCCTATTACCATTTAGGAAAAAATTTTCAAAGGCATAATTTGCTGAAAGTGACACAGTATTTTTAAGTAAGAATAGGGGATAGGGACAAAAAGCAATCTGTTTTTTGTTTTGATTATGAAGCTCCTTGTTACATTTTACATGGCAATTTAAAACATCACATTCATTATGTCATGAATTAGCTCATATTTATTTATTTCAGTATACAAGTAGAAATGAATTGCAATATTTGCTTAGTTATCCCATGCTTGAAGCAGGCATAGAAATGTTCTTAAATATACAAATGAAATGATATCACGTAGTTTTACTCAGAAAATTGTGAAAAATTAAATTGTTGGGTAGATAAATGTAGCTTTTTAAATTAAAAAGAAAATGCATTATTGGTAATTATGAAAGACTCACATTTAATAATATTTATTGAGTGTTTTCTAAGCATCAGGACTACTTCAGTTCCCATGCTAATTTTAGAGCCACTTCTGTACATCTCTAACAAGAGATGTCAGCATGACGTGCAAGAATAAATAGCAGGTTAAGACAAAATAGCTATTGAAGTAGCTAAAGTGACAACAGAACTAACTAAGATTACAGAGCAGTCTGGTCACCTCATATAAGGACTGCCTTGCTTATTAATGAACAGCAAAAACTGACATTCTAAGTGAGGACAGAGCTATTCTGCTATTATTTTTTCTTTTTTTCTGTTTTCTAATGTTATTTTAAAATATGGAAAATTTAAATATATCTTAGAAAGTAAATAGTAGAGGAAAAGCACAGTATAAACATATTTTTGCTTAGAAGTTATTTATATGAACATCCTGCAGCAAGCCCAGAAAATCTTACTATAATAATGAATTATTCAGGTTAATATGGTAAAAGTACTTTGGGTAAAATTATATTCAAATTAATATCTAGAGTGCTATATGTTTGACTGTGAACTTCAGGTAACCCCTGCAAGATGAAGGATTCATCAGGCTGTAACCTGGGCATCCAATCCTTAGTGGAAAGCAATTTCCAATTTCAAGCTTGTCTCTGCACTGATGACCTCTATTGCACTGTTAATAAACTGCTTGGAAAAAAATGCATCAATGAATCAGGTAATACATTGCTAGATGACACATTTAAAGTCATAAAGAGAAAATTTAATCACATCTATGTAATTTTATTAACTTTTTAATAATTTGAGCCCTAACTGATGTGGCTCAGCTGGTTGAGCATCATTCTGCCAGGCTAAAGGTCACCAGTTCGATTCCCAGCCAGGGCACATGCCTGGGTTGCAGGCTCGGTCCCCAGTCAGGGCACTTGCAAGAGGCAATTGATCAATGTTTTTCTCTCACATTGATGTTTCTCTCCCTCTCATTCTCCCTCCCTTCCCCTCTCTCTAAAAATAAGTAAAATATTTTAAAATAATAATTTGATTAATTCTTCATATAATTTAAGATTCTTTGAGTTGTAGATCTCAGTATGTGCATAACATATTTCTGTAATTGCTAATCACAGTTTCAAGCTTTATTCAATTATAATTCATTAGGATCATAGATTCACTCATTCAAACCATATATCTGTGGGGCTCACTATAGCTTTTCACAAGACTAAATGATAGAAGACAAATAAGGTATTATTTCTGTTGTTAAGAAACTCTGAGTCTCCCAAGAAAGACCAAAATATAACCACTTTTATAGAATTACACTTGCCTTTGACTAGGAGCATTTAATTATTTAATATGCATTTATTTATTGCCTCTTCAATGTACCAAGCTAACACTGAAGCAGTGGTAATCAAACTAGGCTACCTATTATCATGAGGGTACATACAGATTTACCAAGGGATACGTGAAATCAAAGTCCTATAACAATCAATTTCAAGATCCTCACTGTCCCTAGGTACTGTCACTGAAAAGTGGTAAGTCTGGGAATTAATCTCTTATAGAGTTATCATCACTTCTTTCACAATTGACTTTCTCCCAGCTTATAAGACAGATTCTCCTTCATCAATGTTGGGTGGTCCCACTGCCCAGCTCCTCCAATCATGCATGGTGATCTCATTAAACAATTTTCTGTTCCATAATTTTTCCTTTTCCAGAATTTCATATGAAGGGAATTATACAACATGTAGCCTTTTAACCCTGGTTCCTTATATTTAACATAATGCAATTGAGATTCATCATTATTTCATGTTAAGTCTGTTCCCTCTTTTGAGGAGTAGTATTCCAGTGTATGTTTAGACCACAGCTTGGTTAACCACTGAAAATTACTTGCATTGTTTCCAGGTCTTTAGAGATTATAAATAAAGCTGCTATAAATATTCACAGACAAGATTTGTACACATGTAAGTTTTTACTTCTCTTGGGTAAGAAACTGTTGGGTCATAGATAAAGTTTATTATTAACTTTATAAAAAATCTCCCATAGAATATTTCAAATTTGAGATAACTACCAATATATAAAATTTCTGGTCACTCCATGTCTCAGAGCACTTGATTTTTTTCATTCTGTTACATATTTAGTGGTCCCACACTATGGTTTTTGTTGCATTTAAATAATAACATTGAACCTATTTTGATGTGTTTATGTGCCATCTTTATATAATATCTCTAAAGTGTCCCTTCAAAATGTTGCCCATTTAAAATTATTATTATGTAACAAGCACAGATATGCATATATGTGTATGTATGTATACATACACACATATGTATATATACATACACATATACACATATGTATGTGTATATATATATACATACACACACGTATATAGTCCCTAAACAGATTATACAGTATATTTGTATAATTAAATTTTCATGAGAAAGTAGAATTATGGAAAAACTTTCTAACAAAGGTTAGGGGAAAAAATGAAAAAGTTGAGAAATGTTAGTATAGGTACATTTCTAAGAGAAAAAAAGAGATTTATAAAAAATTATATAAGAGGAATAATGGTATCTTATAAGTATTTTAAATTACACATGATTTTTACCAATCATCATCAAAATATAATGAAAAGATAAAAGGAAATGATGAGGACAAATATTTTTTTAAATTACCATTATATAGTTGCACAAACTATAAAAATTGTTTTATACATCAATTTTTAACAATTAAAGATTATTTTTCATAGCACTCTGGAAATAATTTTAATGGTATTTGAAAGATTATAGGTATTGACATATCTATAAAAGATATACCTATATTATTTTCAGAAAAATTATTTAAAAGTCATAAGTAAATGAATTATTTTTTTCATTTATTTTACTTTATTAATAGAAGTATCAACACTATCCTCAAATTTGGCTTCAGAATCAAATATCACAAAAAGGCTCCATCAGAATGATACATCACTAATGGTGGAAAAAACGAGTGACTGTGTTGTAGCAGCACGCATCTGCCAGGAATCAGAACATTGCACTGTGTTGTATGAGAATGTTAAGAAAACCTGTGGGAGGGAATCAGAACAATGCAAGACCCTTGATGGAAGCCACCTGTGTGAAGCATTAACAGAAGGTCTTCAGGAAACAATCTTATGGAATTGTCAATGCAATGACCCTTCAAAAGTAGAGTGCATTGAAATTTGGAGGAGTTTGTTTGAAGACAATTGCATACAGGATGCTCAGATGAATCAAGTTCCAGCCTTTGGTGAAGACTATGAAGATGGATTCAACCAGGACATTGTTTCTGGTGGGTATTCAAAAGAATTTAGGAGCATTAATGATAACCACAAATATCAGTTAACTAAAGAATCATTATTTCTCTTTCCAGCTCTGTCATTTCTGTCTGTGTTTCTCCAAGGAAATTTAAATTTAAAAACTTAATTCTATGACTGTGTCCAAAACTGATTATAAAGTGTCACAAACATGTTTATCATATAGCCTTTCCTGTAGGTTAGCCAAACAACTGCTCAGCTAGCTGCCTGCTGAGCAGCCCAGCACCGAGGAATAGACGAGAGTCACACACAGTAACTATGCTATTTGCTCAGCTTTTATTGAATGCAGGTTCACTCAAAGTAGAACATCAACATACATTAATATTCTACTCACACTCTAACAATCAAAGAGGAATATAACACACACACAGCAATCAACAGGAGATAATGAACCTGAGACCCAGAATCTCAGTCAGCAGGTCCAGGAGACGGCACGGTGGGCAAGGGAGTTGTCGGGTCTTGAAAGGAAAGATCTCTGGAGCCAGGTGGGTAGCAGAGCAGACGAAGTCCTCAGTCCAGCAGGGCAGAGCCTCCAGTGGTCAATACCAAGGGAGATCAATGTGGCATGGAGCAGCATCATGGTGTGTGAAGCTTGGCTATCTCAGCAATGGTCTGGAACCTGCCTCCGTAATGCCTTTAAAATGGTGTACTCCACCCTTCTGGGTCTTTTTGATAAATGTCTTGGCACCCCTGATGCAAAGTGTGGAATTTTCTCAGAAGCCTATGAGTGATACATGGCTGTTCTGCTTGGCATCCCTATGGCAAGTATGTAATTTCCCCAGGAGCCTATCTGTGGGTGGTCCCGCGTTGCAGACCGAGCAGCTCTGACCACATGTGCAAGTGTGTCTCCTTGCCAGATATGTCTGCTCTGACCACGTGGGCAGATATGTCTCCTTGTCAGATATGTTTACTCTTACTTAGGTAATTTTCCTCTTGAACCAAAGTGTCATGGCTGAATGACAGCCTTTTTAGTTGACATAGTGACTCTACTTTGTTTTATATACTTTATGCTATCTTAATTGGAACAATACAATTTTATTGGTCCTGCTCTCCACATAAGGGAAGAGGCAAATGCTAAACAGTTGTAGCCTAATGTTAAATTTATTCATTCATTGAGCAAATACTTAGGAGCCATGTACAACATGCTAGGTCCTATGCAGCAGGACAAAATCAAAAACAAAAATAAAAGAGAAACTCCCTGTCCCTCATCAAAGAAGCTTATTGGTTTTTAGGAAATTTAAAAAATTAAAGATAGAGATAAAGGTGGTAAGCAATTATTATTTACTTATTTAATAAATATGTCTTGTCCCAGCTGGTGTGGCTCAGTGAATTGAGTGCTGGCCTGTGAACAAAAGGGTTGCTGGTTCAATTCCCAGTCTAGGGGACAAGCCTGGGTTGCAGGCCAGATCGCCAGTAGGGGGTGCATGAGAGGCAACCACACATTGATGTTTCTCTCCCTCTCTTTGTCCCTCACTCTCCCTCTGTCTAAAAGTTAAATAAATAAGTAAATATTTCCCTTGAGTACCTACCTTCCCCTAGGCATACTCTAAGATGGGATAAAGCAGTAAACAAAACAAAACAAAAAATCACTGCTGTTTAGGAGCTTCCATTCTAAATGAGACAGAGACTTGCACACAGGTAATGTACTGGGCTTAGGTCTCAGGAGGCGAGGAAAAAAGGCTTAAGTAGAGAAAGTTGCAATGCAGTACAGTCCTCACAGCAAACTTAGTTGATTCTATAGGAAGCTTGGACCTAGAATGGCTTTTCAGAGGTATCATTCCTGCTGAGGCAAGGAAGCTGATCTCTGACCCCTCAAATGGTCTAGTGCTTAGATATGAGCTTTGCCCTGGAAACATCTGTAACCTTGGGCATGACAACTTTCTTTGGATGAGGGCAGTGCCAGGAAAAGGACCAATGTGCCCCAATGCCCCAAATACTCCAAGCAGCTGAGGAAACTTATACCTAGATCATCAAAGGGGGGATCTTAGTAGTAAGAAACAGCATCCAATATGGGGACAAAGAAGAAATTAACATGATAAATGACTTTAAGATTTATAGGTGCTAAGGAGAAAACTAAATATAGGTAAGGGGTAAAAAAAGAAAAGAAGTCTGAGTGGGCTTTGTAATTTTAATAGGATGGCCAGAAAGTTGCTCTGAAAAAAATTAATGTTTAAGTAAAGATTGAAAGATTGGCAAGGGATGAGTCCTATGAATACCTAGGGAGAGAACATTTAAGGCAAAAAAAAACATCCAGTTAAAGGTCCTGAGCTGGTAATATGAGTATGAATATGAGGTTTGAAGAAAAGCGAAGAGACCACCAGCTAGAGTTGAGAGACCAAGGGAGAGAAGTGTAGGAGATAAGATCTGATACAGAACGGGACAAGATCATGAAGCATGTTGTAGATCATTTCAAAACTGTTAGCTATACACTGAGTGATATAGGAAACCACTGAAGGATTTTGGTCAGCATAGGGTCATGGTCTAAAATATATGTTTAGCAGGATGATTCTTGTTTTTTTTGTTGTTGTTGTTGACAACTGACTGAAAAGGAGGAATGGCCAAGTGGGAAGACCAGGTAGGAGCTTTTATAACAATGTAGTAAAAAAGAAAATGAATGATGAACCCATATGGGAAGTTGTCAGACCTGGGTATATTTTAATATTAGTGGATCATATGGGAATACAAGGGGAAAAAAAAGAAATCAAAGTGGGCACTAAAGTTTTTGTACTGAGTATGAGAAGGATGTGGTCACTATTATTTTTATTTACTAAAACAAGAACAACTACAGGAAAAAGATGCTTTGGTCGGGGGACAGAAGAGAGGTGAGAGGTGAGTTTTGGATGTGTTGAGTGTGAAATGTTTACTAGGTATTGAAGTAAAGATATTGAGAAGTCAGTATTACATATGGGATTGATCTCTAAACACTATGCATGACATGTAGAAGTGAGATTTATACAGCACCTATAAATTGGGAGGGTTATTTATTTACAGATGACAAATAAGATTGTGGGACTAGAAGACATCAGTAGAAAAAAATTTGTGGCATCCTGAACCAGAGTGGTAGCAGGGTGAGAAGATATCTGACTTTGCATATATTTTGTTATTAGTAGATCAATAAGAGGAAACTATATTTTTTCTTATGCATATGATCTTATAACTCAGATTTAAGTCTGGTTGTTGCATGATTCTATTTATGCCCATGATGTATTCCCCTTTAGCTCCTCTTCAGCAATTAAGCTACTATTTAAAATGTCCTCTGAGAAAATACATGTGTATATACATATGCATGTACTGTATGATATCAGATTTTAATGTGCAGAGAATTTATATAATACATTACTCATAGGATATAAAATAATGTTCATCTAAGATAGACTTCATTTTCCCATGCTAAAAATAACTGTTTTGTTGTGTTTTTACTAATTACACGTATAGTGAGCATATTACTCTGGTTGGGTTGCTGTAACAAAATACCACAGGCTGCTAGCCTAAACAACAAAAATTTATTTTCTCAAAATTTTGGAAGTTCCTGGTCAAGTTTCATCAGGGTTGGTTTCTGGTGAGAGCTCTCTTGCTGACTTGCCACCTCCCTGGCTTCTTGTTATGGCCTCCAACAACATTCCATGTTGTGTGTGCATGGACAGGGGAAAGTGAGTAAGGTTTCTAACATTCCTTCTTATTAGGACACCAATCCCTCAGGTCAGGTTCCCATGCTTGTGACTTCATTTAACCTCAGTTACTTCCTTAGAGATATCATCTCCACATCAGTCATACAGGGTGTTAGGACTTCAACACATGAAATTTGGAGAGCCACAAACATTCAGTCCATAACAGTCAGTAAATTCAATATTTACTTACATTTCAACAGTAGTTTCCTGAATATTTATTCAGTGGCACAGACATAGTAATCAGTTCCAAAGCCGAGGCATTAATCTATAAGAGAAGTTCCTGTCTAGACTTTTGGTCACAAAAGTCATATGACTTTTTGGGATTTGCCCATGGGGGTTTATGCAATGTGGGATAGTAGCAGAGAGGAAGGAACGTTCCAGGCTTCCTTGGAGGCCCAGGAGAGTGGTCTCTAGAACAGATTAAGCCTCAGCTCAGAGATCTTTGAGCTGAGACTTAGTAAGCAGAGAAATAAGAAACTGAGTAGTGAGAATAGATGGAATAAAGCAAAGAGTCTGGATAGGCTGTGACACGCTCAGGTATGAAAAGAATTTTCTTGTGATTGTACCATCATTTCTGTGTAATAGATGGACAGCCAGGGAGTTTGGACAGACAGCTCAAATAGGGACAAACTGTCTCACAAGGGATATTTATGCCATAACAAAAGTCAATATGTTAATCAATAACCAAAGAGAAAATTGAATTTGTATTTAAAAATAAAAATCTGATCATATTATCCCCCTATCACTTTGGTTTTGTGTCTTTCTTTGTGTGTGTATATATACATATAAATATGTCTATAGACATATATACATCAAATACATGTGACATACATGACATTATTTATACATACACACGCACACGTGTGTGTGTGTGTGTGTGTATAATATGTCTGTATTCCCTGCCAGGCTTTGGAGGCTGCAGGGACTACAGATTTGTGTCTTCAATATGGCACCTGATATCAATGCTTCTTGAATAAAAGATTTTAGAATTACATGGCCACCACGTTTACTTCCATCAGTAAGATTCTCCAATTCTATAATTTTAATTCCTAAGAACTCTGAGAAGCTAAAATAATCAGAGGTGGAAATTAGTCTTCAAATTGCATTTCAATCTAAGACCCTACTGGGAAGAGTTGTCTTTTTTTTTTTTTGTCAGACATTATTCCTTCTGTTTTTTCTCCCCAGACAGATTCTTTGTTTACCTCAGTGCACATGGCCTAGTCATTAGCATTTGTTTAAACCTCCAGGTAACTGAATCCTCCCTCACAGCAGTTCTGTTTAACTCACTTGAATGATATTTCTGGGGTTTATTTTTCTTCATCTGTATCTTACTAACTTTGAGTGTCAAGGGTTAAAAAAGTATTACATGTACCTCTATGTATTTTTGCTTACTCACTTATAGATGTAGCCCACATTCTCCTGTTAAATTTAGAAAATGGTTCACTAATGAAGTTTTTGTTTTCCTTCTATATAACAAGAGAGGGGATAATAAATTCAAGTGGAATCTAACTACTCTTCCCTATCATGGTAATGTTTCTCATTTATAACTTTGATCAGCATTGTAAATACTGGACAATATAATTTAAAATGTAGTTACTAGAGTTCTTAAAAATATTTCAATGCAAAACAAATTGTACAGCTCTTAAACAGTTTGAATATTACAAAATACAAAATCAAGTCATTGCATTTCATCCACTAAAGTATCAAAGCAACCAATTTGCCCATTTGTCATCAATTTATCTTGTGCTGAGGAATACTTTACAGTTAAAACCAAAAACTAGATCTTAGTTACATTTTATGGATATTTTGATCACATAAATTAAGTTGTTCCAGGCCAACTGTTTCTGTATCATGTTTGTGGGTATGGGGGGCATCCACGTGTGCCTGTGTTATCTAGAATGTGAACAACTACATGGAGCCTTTATTCACGATTTCCACCCCCCAAATAAAAAGTGCAACAGAATAAAAATCATTTTGATATGAGCCAATGAACTAATCATAAGCTATATAGCTCAAATAAAATTTCTGAAGATTTATTGTGTACATTTGAGAAACTTGGACCCAAGGATTTTTCCTTTGGCTCAGTTTTGGCCCTACACACTTCCCATCTCTTCTGGATCATAATACGTCATATCCAGTAGAGATGAAAGATGACTCAAATAGTCCACTATTCAGGTCTCAGTAAATTCATATTAACTCTAAAAAAGAAAGAAAAGTAGTGTTTGCCCATAATAGGATGTTACTACAAAGTTGTATGTTGCTCCTTGACGTCTCACAGTGTTTTGCAGATTCTGTAAGGACAGCTTTATATTTACATTTTCACGACCTGGGCATGTCATTGCTTTCAGAAATGAAAGGGATCCGGTCCTGTTTGGAAGTGGCAGAGACGTGTGTAGGGGATGTGGTCTGTAATGCACAGTTGGCCCCTTACCTTAAAGCTTGCTCAGCAAATGGAAATCTGTGTGATGTGAAACACTGCCAAGCCGCCATACGGTTCTTCTATCAAAATATGCCTTTTAATATTGCCCAGATGTTGGCTTTTTGTGACTGTGCTCCATCTGATATACCTTGTCAGCAGTCCAAAGAAGCTCTTCACAGCAAGCCATGTGCAGTGAACATAGTTCCACCCCCGACTTGCCTCAATATAATTCACAGCTGCCGAAATGATGAATTATGCAGGTGAGTAAAAACACACATACCTTACTTTCTTATTTCTGCACCTTATTTGTTACAGTCCAGTCCTAACACTTGATCTCATTACATTAACTGGAGTTCCCACCATTATCCAACGTGATGTAAACAAAGCCAGACAATTCATATTTTAGGATCTGTAGTACATATGTAGTGTCCTTTTTGAAATTCAAATGCAGCACATGTTTGGAATAAAAAAAAATCAGTATGTCAGGATTCGGTCACCATGAAATAGCATTATTGAAATTTTGTATTCAAATTAGACTAATAAATAAGGAGTTTGGTTAATAAACATATCTTGTATGTCAGTTTTTTAATTTGCTTTTTGGTATAACCATGTAAGGTTATTAAATGTCACAGAATTTTGACAATGTGACTCTTCAAACTTCAAAATAAATCTCCCTGCCTTACACTGACGATGAGGAAGGAGAAGTAGCTTGACTGCAGTTTGGATGGCCCAGCACACATCTACACCATGATGTCAGAAGTGCCTAGTCTCCTCTTCTTAGCTTTATATTCTTGAACCTAACGGGGGGTAATGTTAGTCATTTATTTGTTTATTAAAAAAAATTTATCACAGTACAAGAAACAAAAATGCCTGCCCTGTAGAACTTATATTCTAATGGAGGAGACAGATAAAAAATGAAATATTAAAAAAATGAATAAAAAATGAATAAGTGAATATAAAAATGAAAATAAAAAATGAATATTATATTGTGAGGTAATGAGTGCTCTGAAGGTTAGCAACAGCAACACTAGCAAAACAGAGTGACTGGGGAGTTGTGATTGGGCAGAAAGAGTAGCAATGTAAATGCAGTGGTCCCAGCAGTGAACATTTATCAGAGTTGAGGAAGTGAGGGAAGTAATGAGCCTCTCTTAGGAGATATCCAAAAGACCAGCCATTGCTGAGTAACAAAGGCCTGTGGCCTGTTAAAGAAGCAATGAAGGCAGCGAGTGCAAGGGGGAGAGCAATGGGAGAAGTGCTTAGAAGTTTAACTGTAGGGGCACTGGGGCCTAGATCACATAGGGCCTTGAGGGACACTAACAACCTGGGCTTTGACTCCTAGTCAAACGGAGAAGTACCAGAGGTATTTGATTTTGAGCAGAGGTATGGATGATCTGGCACGCTTGTTAAAACATCAGCTTTAGCTGGTAGTTGAGACTAGACTGTACTTTTGCAGGTAACTACTTCTGGGAACCATAACTCTGATCCAACACTGTGGCTATTTCTTTTCCTCACTATGGTCATTAATATACTTCCATGTATATTCAAGATGAATTTATGTTTTATGTGGTAAAAAAAAATCCACAGTCAAGTGGGCCTCTTTGGACAAGAGTAAGAAAATGGAGAAAAAAATGAGAATACTAAATAAATTTCATGAGTCAAACTATTTGTAACATTGATGTTAATGTTGAAGGAGCTTCCTTTAATAACCAGCATTAAATTGTATAATTTTTTAATTTTTCTTTTGCTTCTTTTTTGAGTAATTCTTCATATTCATTCATTTGCCTGGTATCTTCTATCAGGGTCCATTTTATTTAATTTTATTTAAATGAATAAAACTCCATATATAGCAAATTAATTTAAAGATCAGAATAAACATTTAGCGAGAAGGAGTAGCTCAGTGTATGATGGCTCAGAACATGTGATAGCTCAAACTGTCACATTTGTCACCTTGCTTCAACCACTGGAAAACAAACTAGAAGGTTTAATGAAAACTTTCTGAAGGCACTGATTGTTGGTAAACTGTTTTCCTTTGGCTTTGTCAAAAGATAACTGTTAACTCTCTTCCTTCCTTTAATCTCAGTCATTCTTACTTGAAATGTAGCTCCAGATCTTGTAAACACTTGTCAAAAAAGACAGCTGCTTCCTTACAATGCACATTCAATAAGATAAAGGGTAAAGATCTAAGCAGAATGCTGTGGGGATATTGGCATATTTTTTGCTTCAACTAATCATGTAAAGGCCAAAGACCTTAAGAAAGGTTTATTTGAGGATTCTGTCATGTAAATGTTTATCAGTTATTTTAAGGTTTATTAATCACTTCTCCTGAGTTAAAGATAATATTAATTATAAAAAATATTTTATAATGCAATTGAGATTTGTCAGATGCATTGATATCCCCAAAGTTCATTTTGGTGAAATACTGTATTCCGTTAATTCTAAAATGTAGTTTTTTCAATATATTTTGTTGATTATGCTATTACAGTTGTCCCATATTTTTTCTCCCCTTTATTCCCCTCTGCCCTGCACCCCCTCTCCCACCAGCATTCACTCCCCTTAGTTCATCTTCATGGGTCATACATATAACTCCTTTGGCTTCTCCATTTCCCGTACTATTCTTAACCTCTCTGTCTATTTTGTACCTACAATTTATGTTTCTTATTCCCTGTACCTTTTCCCCCCTCACCCCCTCCTCACTGATAACCCTCCATGTGATCTCTATTTCTGTGAATCTGTTCCTATTCTAGTTGTTTGCTTAGTTCATTTTTTTGTTTTTGTTTTTCTTTAGGTTCAGTTGTTGATTGTTGTAAGTTTGTTTTCATTTTATTGTTCATATTTTTCATCTTCCTCTTTTTCTTAGATAAGTCCCTTTAATACTTCATATAATAAGGGCTTGATGATGATGAACTCCTTTAACTTTACCTTATCTGGGAAGCACTTTATCTGCCCTTCCATTCTAAATGATAGCTTTGCTGGATAGAGCAATCTTGGTTGTATGTCCTTGCCTTTAATGACTTGGAATACTTCTTTCCAGCCCCTTCTGTAATGTAATTATGAAGTGCCTTGGTGTGTGCCCCTTGGGACTAGCTTTTTGGGGACTCTGACCTTCCTGGACTTCCTGTAAGTCTATTTCTTTTGCCAGATTGGGGAAGTTCTCCTTCATTATTTGTTCAAATAAGTTTTCAATTTACTGCTCTTCCTCTTCTTCTAGTACCCCTATGATTCAGATGTTAAAACATTTCAAGTTGTTCCCAGAGGTTCCTAATCCTTTCTTCATTTTTTTTTTTTGAATTCTTGTTTCTTCTTTCCATTCTGGTTGAATGTTTATTCTTCCTTCTGGTCCAAATTGTTGATTTGAGTTCTGGTTTCCTTCCCTTTACTGTTGGTTCCCTGTACATTTTTTTTCTTTATTTCACTTTGCATAACCGTCACTTTTTCCTCTATTTTGTGACCACACTCAGCCATTTCTGTGAACATCCTGATTACCATGTTTTGAATTCTGTATCTGATGAGTTGGCTATCTCTTCATGGCTTTGTTGTACTTTTTCTGGAGTTTTGATTTGTCCTTCCTTAGGGTCATATTTTTTGTCTCAGAGTGCCTGTTACATAGTAAGGGATGGAGCCTTAGGTGTTCACCAGGGCAAGACAAACCAAGTCACTGCGTTTTGATGCTGTCTGTGGGGGAGGGGTTCACTAGGGAACAGTGCTGCTTGCTCAGCTCTCAGCCAGCTTTCAGTCACTTCCACGGCTATCCACAAGCAAATTGGGCCCTTCTGGTGTTGATTCCCAGGTAGGTGAGTTTATGTATGTTCTAGGACCCTGTGGGCCTCTTCAATGAACTCTCCTGTGAGGCTGGGAGTTTCCTTGCCACCTCAACTCCCATAGATTTTTTCAGTCAGAGGTTTTGAGGCTTTTTCCCTGGGTTGTGCTCTCTATCTCTCTCCCCAGTTGGTGCTCCTGGTTTATCTGCATATAAATGTGGGACTGCCCAGATTGCCAGCCACCTTGCTGTGAGTGCTCCTCACCCTGACTGTCCATCTCTGCCTCTCATATCAGTCTGGATAAATGTTTCTTCTTTAACTTTTTGGTTGTTGAACTCCCATACAGTTCGATGTTCAGGTCTTACATACAAGATGGAGACATAGGTAGTAGATACACTTCACCTCCTCACACAACCAAAAGAAGGACAGCAACAAATTTAAAATATAAGGTTTTTATATATTTTAATATCCCTAACATATATGAGATGTGTCTTAAGCTCAATTACAACAAAACATTTATTAAATTTAATAACAATTTAATTTCAAACAAGTGATTTTAATTATAAAATATCTACTAAAATCAATGAATGATAAAAATGTTTGAGTATACTTTTTTATATTACAAATAGAATTTTACCAACTATCTATTACCCATCTATACCAACAATGAAACCACATTTTAACTATCCAGAGGATACTTTTTAAAAAATCAATTCCTATAAAAATACCCAATGTCTGCATAGATGGGCATCCAGCTTTGGCTGATACCACTGAGAGGGCCCTAAATGTGCTACCTCATTATCCTAAAATTTTTTGCATTCAATCTTCAAAGCATGATACATCTAAGCTTCCCCATCATATTAAATATTGTAATGGCAAGTGATGGTTTCTGAAGCACATGCTCTTGAAATAAATTCACCTTGGCACCAACACTTTCTCAGATTGACTGATACATTTTTTGATGATTTTGTTCCATGAGGACTCCTGGGCTTAACCACCTCTCCAAAGTGCTTGGTGCAGGATCTGGAACACAAGAGGACTCAAAAATTGTCATAGGTTTTCCTCTATTTTTGAATGCCCTGCACTTAATTTTTATAATTTGTTGATGTACATATACATGTCTCCTCTTATGTAATTTCTAACTTTCACAGATTAGAGTAAGGACTTGTGTCTTCAATGTTGTTCCACCATGTGCAAATAGCCCCTTAATGAATACTTTATGGAAGTAATGGAAATATTATATAATATTAGTAGCTGAGGTGAAAAGATGATTCCTGTCATTTTCACATGCAAATCTTGCCTTAGGGAGATTCCCAGTATTTATGAGGAAATACCCCAATTTTTATGTATTAAAAAATGTGTATTTATTCATACATGTTTAAACTTCAATCACCTTCAAGGTCATCTCCACTTGATGAAATATACCCATTGAGACTTTTTTAATGTATATTTTATTGATTATGCTGTTACAGTTGCCCCAATTTTTTTCCCTTTGTCCCCTT